TTCCTTCCTTCCTTCCTTCCTTCCTTCCTTCCTTCCTTCCTTCCTTCCTTCCTTTCTTTCTTTCTTTCTTTCTTTCTTTCTCTCTTTCTCTCTTTCTTTCTCTCTTTCTTTCCTCCAATAAACTACTGCCAAACCCACTTGTGTTAGTTAGTATTATCATCTTTGTGACCCAATACTGGACCCAAACAACTACAGGGAGGAGAGATTAATTTTGATCAGTTTGAGATGCTGGCCCCCATCATGTGTAAAGAAGCTGTTGAGAAGTTGCGCACGTGGTTGTCAGGAAACATTGTAAGGAGTAGCAGGAAGGGGCGGGGCAAGATGCAGCCTGGGGCATTCATCCCCTGTGACCCATTTCCTGCAACCAGGCCCAGCCTTCCAACTTCAGTCACATTCCAACAGTTTACTCAAGGTTTGACTCCATCAATGGCTGAACCCACTCATTAGGTCAGAAACCCTTTGATCTAATTCTCTTTGGAAATACATTCATGGACATATTTAGGCGTGTGCGTATGTGTATTTTATTCATCTATACATTTCTCACTTCAGGCTGATTTCTCTGACAACCTCCATGGCACACTTCCTTGGTGCATTAATTTCCAGATACCATCACAAAAACAACACTATGAACCGAATTGTTTCCTTACAGTTCTGCAACCAACTTCCATTTCATGATCAAGGAATGACCGTGTGTGTGTGTGTGTGTGTGTGTGTGTGTGTGTGTGTCTGTGTCTGTGTGTGTGTCTGTGTGTCTGTGTGTGTGTCTGTGTGTCTGTGTGTGTCTGTGTGTATCTGTGTCTACGTGTGTGAGAGGCAGACAGACATTCATACTTGGTATCTCTTCCTCTTCCTCTTTTAAGGACACTGGCCGTAAGGCTAAGGACTCTATACTTGTGACCTCATTTAACCTCAGTTACCTCACATCCTTAAGCCTTTTCTTGGAGTTCTGTCTCCAGTCATAGCCACTAGAAGCCAGGGCTTTTACCTATTAATTTGAGGAGCATGATTCAATTTGTAACACTGGTGACACTATCGGAAGTACCCCATGTGACAGATGTTCAGCAACATAGTTAACTCCTTTGTCCTTGATACCATTCACGCTTTACCATACCCTTTCCTAACCTTCTTTTTTTCTCTTCCTACCTAGAGAACAAAGACTTCTTTAAGTTTGTCATTGACAATCTCCAGGATCCAGCAAACTGGGACTACCTGCAGCTCCTGCTGACTGAAGATGATGCCTGGGAAGAGTTTATGACGGGGGCTGTGTTGTCCAGGTGACCTTCAGGGGAAGTCCCTGAGGGTGGGTGTGCCTCACTCCTGCTGGGCTCCTTTGCTCAGGAGGCCCACCTCCCAGACAGGCCCTGTGGTTGGAGTTGAAGATGTCCCTTGTAAACAGCTCACTAGTGTTTTCTCAATGTTATTCCCTGACAGAGACTAATCTCAGAGTAAAGGCAGACAGTCCACCTAGGGGCCAGAATCATTTCTACCATCTTCTAGTTTTGTACTTTGGCAACTTAATTACTGTGTCTTCGTTCCCTCATCCATTGTACTTTATGGTGAGAAACATAAGGTAGGTCAGCAACGAGCTGGGTGTATGGTGGACACCTAGCACCTTTCCAAAACCCAGAGATTGAGGTGAGGGTCAGAACCAAGGGTCATGGAGGAACAGGAGCTGGGCACTGGTGGCTCATGCCTATTGCTGAGATCTGAGGATCACAGTTCAATGCTAGCTTGAGCAGGAAAGTCTATGAGATACTTATCTCCAATAAACTACTAAAAAAAAAAAAAAGGCCAGAAGTGGCTCTATTGTTCAAGTGGTAGAGAGCTAGCCTTCAGCAAAAAGAAGCTCAGGGACAGAGTCCAAGCCCAGAGGTCAAGCCCCAGGACCACCACCAACAGCAACAACAAAATCCACAAAAAATCAAGAACAGTAACAGGAGTAGGTCTAGGATGGAGGCTAAAAAGAAGGCTTCTCCCTGAAGGCTTTGAAGGTATTTTCTTACAACATGCTGCTATTCTCTAAATTAAAAGGTTTGTGTGCTCCCAATCTTGAATGTCTTTTGTTCACCTACAGCACTCCTGCTCTATATAGCGTGGTGATACTGGCATCGACCTTGAGTAAGAAGTCACCTTTATCAACTGTCTACAATTCAAAAGCACATTGACTTGTATGCATTTCCCCTTTAATTGCATAAGGACCACAGAGCAACCGTGGCTTTCCCAAATGTGTTCAGTATCGGATGAAAAAATTTACACATTAGCAAAATTCTTTGGTATTTGATTCTTGGTGAAATTAAAAAAAAATGCTCCATGATTGGGACAGGGTGGTGGATCTTAAGAAGCCTGTTTTACAGATACGCACAGCATCTTTCTTGATTCTGTGGGCTTCGCTGTTACAGGTATGAAGGTGTTGCGCTCCGCAAAGCTCTGGAGCAGCTGGCGGCAGATGCGGCCATGGAGGACACGGACAGGCTGTGTACAGAGCTGCAGGATAGGAAAAGCTTTCTGGACACATTTCCTCAGGTGAAAATGGAGCTCGAGGAGCAAATAAGAAAGCTTCGTGAGCTTGCAGACAAGGCGGACAAGGTGCAGAGGGACTGCGCCATCTCCCGTGTGGTGGCCAGCTCCACCAGCGCTGCCTCTGGAGTCCTGAGGATCCTCAGCCTGGCTGTGGCCCCGGTGACACTAGGGGGCCTTGAGACGCTCCTAGTCTCGGGGCTGGGGCTGGAGGCGGTGTCCACTCTGACCAGTGCTGCCTCTAGCCTTGTGGGAGGCGTGAGGAAGTGGTCTGTGGAAGCCGAAGCCACTCACCTGCTTTCAACCAGCATGGACAAAGGGAAGACAGTGAAGGAGGTTTTGACCGAGACCACACCCAAAGTTGCTGCTTTAGGCAAGAAGTACTTCCAAGACCTGCCACACCTTCAGAAGAACATTGAAGCCATAAGGCTGGCCAAAGCCAACCCTCGCTTAGCGGCCAGTGCCCGGACTCTCATGACCGCGGGGACCATCTCAGCCCGAAGCACTAAGCAGGTGCAGAAAGTCTTTGGAGGAACCATTCTGGCAATGACCAAAGGAGCCCGGATGATGGGTGCCGCCACTGCAGGTGTCTTCCTTCTGATGGATGTCGTCAACCTCGTGAAAGAGTCAAAGCGTTTGTTCCAGGGCCCAAAGACGGAGTCCGCTGAAAAGCTGCGGCAGGAGGCTCTGGAGCTGGAGAAGAAGTTGGAGGAGCTCATGCAGATTCACGAGAGAGTGCTGTCGGATGTGAGTTGGATGCCCTCTTTAGAGCGGCAGAGAGGTCAGGAGAGATGGGCTGGTGGCGGTGTGGACAAATGAGGACCCCTCCCCCCATACACACACCACGGTATGATCTGGGACAAATGAAGGCAGAGCAGGGGAGGGCCTATCCTTCCGACCGTCACTAGCTCCTCCTCTTAAAGGTCCCACCCCTCCCACTATGCCACACTAAGGACCAAGCTTCCAGTGCGTCCTGGGGACCAACCCTGGACCATATCTAAGCCCCTGGGCGTTCCAGCCACTGTGGAGCCAGCATAGGCTCCGCTCCGGCCTGCCTGCACTGGGCTGTCAGCATTAGCTTTCCCGCTGGCCTTCTTTCATTGGTGGCATTAGAGACCTCTTCCTCTCTAGGCTCAACTTCTCTTTCTTTTTTGGGGGGGGGGTCCGGTCATGGGGCCTGAACTCGGCCTGGGCACTGTCCCTCAGCTCTTCAGCTCAAGGCTAGCGCTCTACCACTTGAGCCACAGCGCCACTTCTGGCTTTTTTCTTTTTGCTTATGTGGTGCTGAGGAATCGAACCCAGGGACTCAGACATGCAAGGCAAGTGCTCTACCACTGAGCCACCTTCCCAGCCCATATGCTCAACTTTTTTTTCCCCAAATAATTCCAAGTCTTGAAGCCAAGCCATGGCTGTGAACCCAAAGTCAAAGGGATCTCTTTGTCCTTGAGATGCACGGCTCTTGGGGAGATGCTCAGGAAGCACCACTGAAGAATGAGAAGTATGGAGTCGCATCTGTGCCGATGTCACACCATTGTCTTCCCACGTGTGAGCGGAAGGACACTCAGAGAAAGGAGATGGTGCGGCCTGGCCCGGGAGCTCTGATGGCCTAGCAAGGTGCTGGGAAACCTCAAGGACTTGGCTTCTGGTTAAAGGTTTAAACTCTGCTGCAGGGGAAAGAGATCTGAGAGATGACCACCAGGGGCTGCGCTTGGTTTATAATGCTTAAAGAATAAACACTGGCCAATCTGGGCTGTTCCCCCAAATGCTGCCATGGGATTTTCTATATTTGTGACTCCAGGAAAGACTGAGAGCCTAAGTCTGTACTTTTACATAATTAAAAAATTCTTTTCTTAGGAAATGGAAAGACTTGGAAAAAACTATATTAAGCCAGACCCAAAGATAGGTCCCATGGTTCCCCTTATTTGCAATAACTCATATATAGCTAGGATAATCCTACCAGACAAGCAGAAAAGGTCAAAAGCTATGTCCAGATGACCATATAAGATGATGCTAAGTGAAATGAACCCCAAAAAATGGACATGAGGTTTTTTCTTTGTTGCTGTTGTTTTTAATGTACTATGTGATTTTTTTGTTCCTTTGGTATGTTCTTCCCCCATGGTATAACCACTGTTGTCACTGTACTTGATTTTGGTACCCTGAATCTTGTATAGACACTTTGCTAATTTGAGGAGGAGAAGGGAAATAATAAAATGCTGAGACAAGGATACAGGTTGACCCATTGTAACAATGAGATGTACAAGATACTATGTTGAAAACAAACCTTACAACTTCGGAGTGAGGGGGTGGGGGGAGGGGGAGTAGGAGAGGCAGGGAGGGAAGGGATAGTAGAGGAAAAACAAAGGACAGAGTAACAATGCTCAATAGGAAATATACTCATGTACAGTTACATATTATTCATATAACTGTAACCCCTCTGTAGAGTATCTTTACAATACAATTTTTAAAAAATTCAATGCAGTAAAGCAATAAAACTAGAAGTTTCTAAACAGCTACTGTTGTGCTTCTTTCTATTATCCTCCTCCTTTCTCTCTTTTTGTCCAAGACCAAGACTCAAACTTGCTATCTGATATTTTTGCTCATTAGCTGGTGCTCTACCACCTGAACCACACTTCCAACCTCTCCTCCTCCTTCTTGGTCACAGGAGCATTTCTGAGTTTTGGTGTGGCTGGAGGCTGCCCAGCTCCTGCGCCCTTCTTCCTGACTTCTGCCTGTGGAAGGTGACAGATGAGGTCGGGAGTAGAAAAGAACCCCACCGCCATCGTTGGAAGCTGTGGGGGTGGGGATGAGGAATTCTGGACGCTCATCCTCCATCATCACAGTCGCAGTACCAGGACTCAGTATCTGGACTCAGTACAGAGGGGTGCTCAGCCTTGATGCACCGTGCACCTTCACCTATAATTTCCACAAGTGAAATAGAGGGGTTCACATAAGGGAAATTTCCAGTAAGTAGGAAAGGCTGGTTTAACTCAGCTACAGCAGCGGTTAACTTGAATAGGGAGCAGTTGAGCAGAGGGGCCCAGTGATAGACAATGAATGATTCTTCTCTAGAGATTGCTAACTCCTAAAGGTTACCCATCTATGCCTTTCCAGAATCCAGCATGGAGAAGTTCACGTGCATCCAACAACTGGTAGCCTATGATGAGTTTATTGATTAAGATCATGCCCCTTTGGCCCCCGGAGTCCCACAGTACACATATAGGGTAAAGGCAGTCTGTGTTTTCATAAAAGTTGCAAAGAGAAAGTCTAGCAGAGCATTTTAGAATGGAGTTTGGGCATAGAAATAGCCAGATGCTACGTCTCAGGAATCCCCCGAGGAGGATGTGTGAAGGATCGGAGCCCACAAGTACTGAGGCAGCGGGGTGAAGGAAGTCTCCCTGGGTGTGGCCCTATGGTGACAGAAAAAGCTAAGGAACCTCTGGCTGGAGGAGGAAGGGAAGGAGCTCATGTCCTGGAAAGTCAGAGAAGTTACCCTGTAGAAAAAGATCTAGAATAAAGGCACGAATCTGAGACTTGGAGAGATCAGGAAGCGGTGACTCACAGGCACAGGGTCTATTAAAGGTTACATAGAAAAATCTCCATCACCTGCTGTACATCGCAACAGTGGCGGGAGATGCAGGAAGCATGGAGATGGCCCATCTGCTTGTCAGAACTGGAGACGTTCCCTACCAGCAAGGGAATTCAGATGTTTTCCCATGGAGCCATAGAACCTCACAGGTGGTCCTGTCCCACCTCTCCATTTGGAAGGCAATTGTCCAGCATATTGACGATCTCACATAATGCACCTCCTTCAAACACTTTGCTCTCCCTGTTCATGGTTTTACAAACTTCAGGACTTGATGTTTCTAAGCTGGAATGCTTCGCAGAGCTCACCAAAACTGCTCTCTGAAAAGATGGTATTGTGTACCTGGGTTACTGGATGTAGGGATAACAAGGGGGATGCTGGGTTAGAAGTGCTAATCCATCTTCGTATTAAGAGAAATTCACCGATGTTGCTGCACTAATGGCAGGAGGAAATGCATTGGACTCTAGGTCTCCCTTAGAGACGCCCTCAGGCCTTCTGACCCTCATCTATCATGGGCCCCAGCTGCTGGATCCAGAAGGCTCCTGTGCCCAATCCTGTGAGCTGGTCAGTCAGCACAGCAAAGGCTCTGTGTGTCAGGACCCCACTTGGCCTGGCTGGGGCCATCTTGATCACACTCTCCATGAAGGCCCCTGAGAGACCCTGCCGTGTTCCCCTGATTCATTTGCCAGTTGACTCTGGATGAACTGTGACAGTGACATGCAGTCCTTAAACTGAGTCGGTGCCGTTCATGCCAGGAATATATAACCAAGTCCATCTCAGCTGGGATAGAAGTGCTTCTGAGACTTTATTAGCCCCTGCTTGTGACTTGATGGTAGACAGCCACTAGCCTTCCTTCTTCCCTTCCCCATGTATGTCTAGTTCTAATGGGTATAGATAGATGATAACTAGATAGATAGATAGACAGAGATAGATTCACACAGATAGATAGATACATACATATATACATAAATATACACACATACATAAATGTGGATGTAGATGTCCACACACCTTCTGTGTACTGCTAGATCTCTCTGGCTCTTTCATCTCAGGTCGTCTTCTGACTATGGTACTAGATTCTTTTACAGCCCAATTTCCCCAGAGTAGTCAGTTAATAGTTACTGAGAAAAAGTCTTTAGATGACCAAATGGGAATAACCCGATGGATCTCAGATACCCTTGAGGCCAGCACCCCTTCCAGGCTAATGAGAAACAGGCTCTGAGAGGTGCATCTGTTCACCCCAAACAGGTCGACCACTACAAAGTTCTTTCACCTGTTCTTTGAATCTGTCAGCACCCCCACCCATGCCATGAATCAACCACTGTTCAACACGGCATCTGAGGTGTCAGTGGGGCTATAGTGGTCCCTCGGAGGTCCTCTGCCCCAAGAGGAATGGCCACCGGCCAGTGCTCTACCCACTCATGTCACTACCTTCACCTTCCTCCTCCTCCTCCTCATCTTTACGGCTACCACCATCACCACCACCACCATCCTCATTGTCATTACTGTTGCCAAGATATCAGTGACTGAACAAGACGAAGCTGAATCAATATTAGAGAAACAGGACTGGAGAAACCAGGGAAAGACTTTATTCTTGCTGGACATCAGACAGTGGAGACCCCATCTCTTTCTCCTTATTCTAACAACTTCTAGCTCTGGCTTTCTCTCCTTCAGCTCTTCAATTTCCTGACCTCCTTCTCATGGCTATTCCCACAAATCCTTAATTCATTTCCACCTCACTGCATAGACTCATCTTCAAACACAATGCAACATTTGCCCACACTTCTGCTCCACTGGTCTCCGCCGACCTCTGCACTGCTTGAGAAGGTGGGCTTACCTCACCGAGCCTGGCCTGATGACAATTTCCTGTGGATCTTGACAAGCAATTCCAACTTGCTCTCCAGCTCCTGGGCCACCCGGCGCAGCTCTGTGGCCAACTCTGACTCTGCTCCCTTAGACAAATGCTTTGAATCTTGCACGAGGCTGGCCACATCCATCCCAAGGAAGACGCCAGTGGGGACGGCCCCCAAGATTCGGGCTCCTCTGGTCATCGCCAGTGCAGTGCCCCCGAAGGCTCTCTCCACACTCTCAAAGCCTCTCGAAGATCTCCAAGTGTTCATTAGGCCCCTCGCCTGTCGCAGTACCTGAGGGTTGGCTCTGGCCTGTCTGAAGGCAC